CAGCCAAAATGCAGGTGACTATACCAAAGTACCCACAAGTTGGCTGTATACACAGGGTACAGCTACCCAATGTCTACCTCGGCCCCTGCCTTTATTCTTCCACCACAAATGCAGTGCAACATCACTGTTCAGTGCTCATGACTGTCTGTTGGTGTAGGGGTCTGGAAGAATGCTTCGTGTTAATCCTCTGAGCCATCTGCCATAGAAGATCACAGCCTATGCTGTGATGTTCCGACTGGATGTCTGACACTAAAAGACTTTGACTAAAGACTTGAGGCTGATGTAACGAGCCAATCATGCTATGGGATAGTAGAGTCCCTCTGAAAGTGCCCCTCTAAAAGAACAGGGAACTCAAAGAAGACAGTGGGGTACTGGCATTCCACCCACATTCAACTCAGTGACACAGCTCTGTGTAGGAGCCACTATTCCAGCTGCATACCTAGTAGGTGACCGAGGAGGTCTGATTCATCTGAAGTATTCATGCCGAGGACTGACAATGGCTCTGGGAAGACTGGAGGAGAGTAAGTCACTGACCCTGGTCCAGGTAAAGGTAACAGAGGCCAGAATGAGGAAAGTACAAGTGTGTGTGTAAAGCAAAAGGGCCACAGCAAAATAACCAACGAGACTGTGACAAATTAAATATGAAAAAGACTCAGAGTAAGACAACAGTGGCTATGTTCATTTGGAGGGGCAGACACCACTTGTCTTGCGCTCTGTGACTTGGGATGACGGAGCTACATTGGGCTCCCTTCCTTCCTGGCTTCCCAGTGGATCTGAGCAGTGGAGTCAAATGAGGGAGTCAACTCAGAGCACTGACTGTCGACTGACCAGGTGGACGGCCGAGGTGACTTCGTCCCTGGCCCAAGGGCCATAATGTCTCTAGACAGCTCTACCTCTTACTCCTCTGGGTTCCAGCCACTAAGCTTTTCCACACCCTCAGGACCCCAGATGAAGCGGCACCAGTGTCACTAGCCCGAGGGCACCATGTTCTCTTCTGTGGTTTCCTTAACTTCACCTTTGTTAAGAAAACCTCCACCAAACTCCTCAAATTATCCTCATTTGAGTATATCATTTGCCTCTTGTTGGAGCCTGCAAAATAAATATGATTTTAAGATTCTATTTTTCTCTTCCAGTAAATTTAGTGTTTCTGTTTTAATATTTAGATTTTTGGAGTATTTTGACTTTAGTTTAGTGCATGGTAACAGACATGGGTCTAGTTTTAGTCTTCAGGAAAGACAGTTTTTCCAGCACCATTTATTGAAGAGACTGTTCTCCAGGGAACATACTTGGTGTAAGGTGGCTGAGTGTCTGGACTTGTGTTTGCATCTTCTTTTCTGTCCCACTGATCCTTAGGCCTGTTTTGTTTTGTTTTGTTTTTTAAACAGTACCACGCCAATTTTATCACAGTAGCTTTGTAGTATAATTTTAGGTCAGGAATTGTGATGTCCCTTGAGTTCCCTTTGTTGCCGAGAATTGCTTTTGCTATTCTAGGTCTCTTTGTTTCCAGGCGAATTTTAGGAGTCTTTTCTCTAGATCTGTGAGGTATGCTAATTGTATTTTGCTTGGGTTTGTATTAAATCTGTACTGCGGTTTGGGAGTACGGCCATTTTCAGCATGCTGGTTCTTCCAACTCAAGGTTAAGGGATAGCTTTCCGTTTTCTGATATCTTCTTCAATCTCCTTCTTTTAAGGGTACTTTAATTTTCAGTGTACAGATCTCTTACATGCTCCGTTAGACTGATTCCTGAGTATTTCAGTTTGCTAGATGCTATTGTGAAGGGTATACGTTCCTTGATTTCTTTCTCTGTGAGGTTGTTGCTTGTGTGTAGGAATGTTATATTTTTTAATACAGCACTGTTTATAGAAGAAGGTTTTCTCTCTCTATTGGGAGGATTTTCTTTTCCTTGGCATCTTTGTGGAAAAATCAATTAATTTTTAATGCTTAGGTCATTTCTGGCTCTCTGTTCCACTGGTCTGTCATTTTATGCCATCAGCATGCTGTTGTGTTTACTGTAGCAGTAGAGGATATTTTGAAGCCAAGTACCCTAGTGGCCCTGGGAATCCATGGATCCAGACCTAAAATTTGATCATCCTGATCATCCTCCTATGCAGGAACAGTGTTGCTATCTGAGGTGCAATCAGGAACTGAATTCCCCATCCCTTCCTTTAGCCGAGGCTCTCTGTATCCAGATTTTCTGCCCGAAGTTGTAAAAGGAGTGATATGACTAACTTTCTACTCTTTTGTTTGTCTTTTCTTATTTCTAGGCTGCATCCATCTGTTTTTTGTTTTTAGCTCTTGCAAAAGTATCTGTGTGAACAGTTGGGTACTCAGTTAGATGTTTCTGTGGGGAGAAGTGCACTGGGGTTTCACCATCTTGCTGACATTACCTCCCCGGCAAACAGAGATCTTTTTAACTGTTTATGTAGACATCACCTTTTTTATTCCAGCAGCATCTACCAAATTGAAGATAGCTTTGCAGACTTTAAAAAAAATTCTCTCTTACAAAAGCTGAAACAGGTACATTTTTAGCTATTGATAAGTAGTTCTGAGCAAGTCACAAGAATGTAAAAATAGAAAAAAGAATTTGTTCCAGTTATAATTCCTATTGAGGTTCTTGCTGAGAACTTAGTGGTGTGCACCAAATGCCAACACAAATGGAGGAAAAGTATGTGTGATCTCTGAGGGTGAGTATGAATGTGTAGGCTTTCAATCTGCTGTCTCCTCGTATATCCTCAATTCACACTCACAGCCAAGTATATAATAATATGCACGTAAATACATACACATTCAAAAAGGAGTAAAAACATCATCATTTTTTCTCTCACTTGCTGGATAAGTTTTAATTTAAACTTTCATTTATCAGGCTATTTTCTGCTGGTAGGAGCAGGTGAGTATACAGATTCTTACATATTTTACAGTTAACACATGTGCTGTGAATATAAGTAAGGGTAATGGATTATTCTCAGCTCCTCATTTTTGTCTGCAATTCACATGACCTCTAAATACTCCCAACACAAATGCTGAAGGACAGCGCCTTGCCGTACAAGTCGGCCTCTTCACTTTTAGCCTGCACAGCCATTTCTCTTTCGCACTCTCATCTCTGTATGTTTGTGTGGGTTGGCAGTTAAGACTGCAAAGTGACTGAAAACTATTACACTGCTGTTTTGTACCTCATACCAGCCAGCAAAAACTGGGATGCAGGCTGGGTACTCAAGACGCACTGACCAGTGGAAAGCAGTCAAGGAGAGACACGTGTTGCATTTTGCAGCAAGAGACCACATGTGGGAACCAAACATAGTGTACTCTGGTGCCAGCACTGCCATCGACCATTAATAGCTGATTCCAGTCTTTAGTTAACTGATTTATGCCAGAAATGCTCGGCTGGGTGATAATTAGTTGAAGAAGTGAACCAGGTGAGCACATTTGCCACAGGGTGAACTGGGATTGCAATCACAAATGAAACAGTCACTTTGTCTACATGTTTAAAGTGGGAAGCACTTGACCGGCAGAGCACTTTGGACACACTGACCACGTGTAAAGTACTGGTTCTAAGTAAGTTCTCAACTATATGTGCACCTACATCCACGTATACATACAGTGTGCTGGGGGCCCTCCAGTGTGTGATGTCCTGTTTTATTGTGTGCATGCATGCATGTGTGCACACGTACGTGTGTGTGTGTGTGTGTGTGTGTGTGGTTGTACATGGTTGTGTGGTGGGTAGTACTGGGAATTGAACCAGGGTCTCCACTATATCACCCACCCATTATATTTGGGAGCAGCCTCTCTCGCAATGGCTCAATAGCCCAGGCTGGACTTGAATTACTGATCCTCTGAGGCTTCAGCTTCCCAGACTGCTGGGATTACAGACATGACATTTCTTTTTATGAAATATTTTCATCTGCTGAACCATACAGTTCATTATCAACTCTTTTATTTTTAATTTTGTAACAATCAAGGAGCCCAAAATTTCCCACATAAAGTGAGTATATTAATTTTTAAAGGTTTATTTTTTAGCAATTGGGAAAAGACATCAAATATACCTCATGTTTCCAAGTTTTTCTTCTCCATAAAACATGGAGATTTCACAATATGACAAATTTACAGAGCAGTCCCCATTCTAAATCAAATATAAGCAAGATTACCTAAAAAAGGCCAGATGTGCTGGCACATGCCATAATCCCAGGACTAGGGAGGCTGAGGCAGGAGTATCATTGCAAGTTTGAGACCAGCCTGGACCTCAAAGTAGTCTCAAAGCCAGCCTGAACTGCACAGAGAGACCCTTTCTCAAAAAAGACCAAAAACAAGCAAACAAAAAAAGTTACTGAAGAATACTGACATCCTAGCCCCTAAGAACTAAACTGTATAGCACAAGATTATCTTAGTTTCATTCTCCAAGCACAAAAACAAGATGCTATTAACTAAATCCTGGTCTAACAGTGCACTTTCTCAAAGAAACAGTTTAGACTTTGCATTCACTCTAACATATTAGTGCGAAGCAGGATTTCTGCACAACAATATGGCATCCACCACTGTGGATGGCAGGTGTGGTTCCAGGGACAGCAACAATCATGTAACGAGAGTGTGAGTGCATCCCTACCTTGGATTCAGGTACTGAATCCAATGGACAGCAAAGGAATATGAAATTCCAAAATTCCTGTTTAATATGGAAAGTGTTTTTGCTGATGTAATTAAGCATTACGAATTTTTCTTCACTCATGTGTTTTTACATGGAATTTATACTACTTTTTCTCTTTAATAATTAGGAATTATGAAACTCAAAATTTATAATAGAATAATACAAGAAAATCTTTGGAAGTTTCCAAAGCTGGACTACAATTATGTTAAATGTTTCCACATAAACAAAGACTGTAATACCATTTTTAAAATGCACAGATTTATATGGGACAGATTAATTAAGGTACCGTTTCCATTTTGTAGCACTATTTTACTGTTAGTACCATGTAAATCCAAGAAAGAGTACTTCAAGGTCAGGTACTTACTGTGGTTGGAAAATAACGACTAGTTTTGAATTTTTTCATAGCCATGGATGAGGTGTAGGTGCCCAAGAAGAGGATGCAAGACATGAGCGTAACATCAGGAACAAAATCGCAGCTGTTTCCTATAAGCTTCCCTCCGTATTTCAAGCACTCCTTTTTTGATAAATATGCCCAGTCCAAGGTTGCATTATGGTACTGCAGAAGAAAAAGAATTAGATGTTTTAGAGAACACGATGTATCAAAAGCAGCTTTTCATACTTCGTGAGTTCTGTAGCGATTATACTAAAATTTCTGTAAAACAGTCTGAGGGTAACCATTGGAGGATGAAACCTGAGGAGCTGATACTGGAATAGCAGTAAGGGGGTAGGGGGCTAGCAATCCTGGAAATCACGATGAGAATGTTACTGTGGGGACTGCAATCTTACAATCACCATGTGTTTAACAGAAACAAAGCACAAAGTCCTCTGCTGACAACTTTCCTGAGAGTCAAGTGAGACACACTGATATCCTGTCTCAAAATGTGAGACTCTCTGAAATGCCTTTAATGTTCAAAAAGTAATCACTTTTTGTATAACACGGCTTTTTATGCTTCTGTGTGGTGGTCCTACCCAGCATTTTCACAAATATGCTATCTGGTGTCTAAGGAACTAAAGACTGATGAGTGAAGGAATTAAATTATAACAATAAGAAAGGCCTCGTCAACACACATTCTCATCAACTGGCCATCCTAAAATAGTTTTTCCCCCTTTTCACTCCAGATAAGCATTATATTACTGGAATGGCTGTGATGCCCCCAAGGTTATGGGGTTGTGTAAAGAACATCCATCTTTGTGCTACGTGGTCTCAAGAATCTAGGTCAGTGTCAGGGGGTGCTACTATGCTGCTGCTTTTTGTACCAGCTCATTCTTCCTATTTTCTGTTTCTAATACACAGAGAATTTTCTCTGCTGGTCTGGTGTCTGTGGCCAGTACACCAGTCCCAGGGGCTCTGCACACTAGCTGCTATCAGTGCAAAGCTGGCTCCCTCTCTAGAGAACTGTCATTAGCCACATATAAGCTGCCTTATCTAGAATGCTATACCCGTAACAGCCATCAGTAAGAGTAGTATAAACCACCCTCTCCATCTCAAGGTAGGAGCAACTGGGTGAGAAATGTTCACCCCAATGCTCCACAGGAAGTCAGCCTGACCACATTCTTGTTTAATTCTTCCCCAGTAGTAAACTGCTCCTCTCTGTTCTCAGTGAGACCACACTCAAATAATTACATACACCTAAAATTCATGTATCAGACTCTGCTTCTAAATCAGCCAACTTACTTGAATTACAGGCTAACCAAAAGTTAATGGCATGGCACTTTTGGTAGAATGGCAGAGTCTGAATGAAATGCAGAGACAGTATCATCAGATTTCTCATCTTGGTACTGGACAGTCCTAAAAGATGAACATCCATTCCCCAGAAACTAAAGAAGAGTAGTTTCTTGGTAGCATATTTTCTTGCTTAACACAATTTCTTCACTTGTATTTCTTATTTTTGAGCCTTCTAAAATAATTACACCTTAAGTTTCTTTTGCTATATGGAGAGTTTGTATACTGTGACAATTATGTATATTTCACAAAGATTTTTCAAAATCTTACCTGTCTATATGAATGACAGTATGACTCAGTAAAAGGGACTGAGTGTCTCAGCTTAGAAATATTCTTAACTACCTGTAACTTGTTTCTTGGGAATATGACTAAGTAACAGAAGATTTATTTGAAAAGACCATGCAAATAAATGTGGAAAGATAAATTTCCCGTCCTCCCCTTGCAGGAAACAGTTCTGCCTCACACCCACGCTGCACTGTCATTTACAGTACCATGAGCTCTTTGATCTGAGTGCCCAGCCATAAAAGAATCTCTGCCCAGAAAGAGTTCATATTTTTATAGAGCTCAAAAGATAAAGTGCTTATATAAGTCAATAAAAAACCATCAGTTCTTTTAATATTTTCTTATATTAACTTCAATATGTAAACACACTTCAATGCTATACTGTTCTTTTATCAAACCATGCTTCTGAAAGGTAATTAGCTATGTCTCATTTTATTTTTTTTTTGATTTATGCCTATTGATGCTATTAGAAGAATATACATGTAAAGTTTAGAGGTACAGTAACAGATATTTTTGTTTTAAAAATCAGCAAAACTGTAATCTAATTTCACTTCAGCACATTAACGTCAGCACAATCTTTACAGCAAGAGTCACCAAAGAGCTAAGATCCATTAAAAAATCCCAATAGACAGCTTTATTGATTTTTCTTAATAGATTCAGGTTGAGAAGACTATGCCATGTACATGCAAGAAATGATAGACATGTTTTCTTGCTTGTATCAATTTGAAACGCCAGTATCAGTATTTTATAAATAGTTCTACTGTAATATAGCCTCCAAATATCTTTTATTAAGCACCTAAGTATAAAAACTGAGAAGCATGTACCTTTTTCAGTCTACACACAAATTATGTGCCTATAAAATTTAAACTATATCTAGTGAACAATTTTGCTTAACTGTCATTGAGTATCCATGTTGTGGATACTCAGAGTGTTAGGTCAGAGTTATAATTTCAGATAAGCTGGTGCCAGTAAAACTTAGAATCTTAAAACTTTAGGCAAGATCTATCCCATAAAGAAAGTAACTAAAGCCAGTGCTGCTGAGACAGGAAGCGCCTGACTCTCCTTTTCCTGTGCTGACTGGAGGCGGCAGGGGTTCGGCCAGCACAGTCCTTGTGCCCTTGTACCCAACGGGCCGGGAGAGTTTGCTTCAGTGTCGCCCCTGCTACCCAGTGGTATCCTCTTTGGCTGTCTAGTGGTTTCCTCAAACACTCATGCTCCATCCCGAGTGCCGCCAGGCAGCACAGTGTCCTTCTCCACGCAGCCACTGCAGAAGATACTGCTGCATTTTGGAGAGGGGGGTGCCCGGAGTGATTTATATTGGAAAGGAAGGACCTGGGCCTGTTATTTATATACCTAGTACTCATAGCAGACTTTCGTCCCTCGCCCTCCTGAAAAGACCTGCAGCACTGTATTTGAAGTCACTTCTCCCGTTATCACTCTTGTGCTGCAGCACAGGATCTGTGAAAATCAGGACTTGCTTTGGTGTTCCCGTAAACCTGCTCAGCTAGGCTGCACTCCATAAGTCCTGCAAATCTGTCTGGGATTTGTAAAACCCTGGTAGTGTAGACAGAGCGGGAACAGGTAAACACTGGGAGCAGTTCACACCACAAAGCTCCAGAGACCAGCACAGGTGATGCTGGCCGGCAGGGCAGGGACCAGCAGCTTAGCTGCAACTTGCTGATGTCATGATCTCCATCTCAACTGAACACAGAACCCTACGCCAATCGGCAACACTACCACCTTTATTCAAGCACACTGCCTCCTCCAGGCTCAGTGGAGAAGAGTCTTGACCCATCTCAGTGCTACTGTCTCTTCCCTTTTAAAGAGAATTCTCACTTCTCTACAATTTTGATCGCTGTTTCCTATGAAAATTCTACACATAGTGCTTTAATGACTAAATCAGAACTTCAAGAACAAGAATAACGGGAACATAATCTCACCATCCCCTCTACCTGTTAGAACATACAGAGCGTATCATCTTTTTTGCTTAAGATGCTTACAACTTTTTATGGCAACTATCTTATAGCCTTTTCAGTGTTTGGAAGTATGAGTTTGAAAATGCCCAGTGAGATATCTAAGAGACTTGGCTCAAACAGACTTCCACTTAGGAATCATCTGCAAAAACTGGTCCCAGGACTTAATACACCTCAGAGTGATCATTACAAGAAGGCCAATGGGCTGAGAAATGCGTGTAAAAAATTCTCCAATCAATTAAAGACTGTTAAAGACTGTTCTTTTCCAGAAATACCGTGTAGTAAATTTCTTAAGGCTAATCAAGACTTTTGTGGTGTTTATAATGTATAAGAAAAAATGGAGATGAAAGGGAAAAGGGACTGCTGGGTGAGGTGGCCCACATGCCTATGATATCAGCACTCAGGAAGGGGTATGAGCGGTTCACCGTGACTTCATGGCCAGCCTCGACTGCACAAAGAAACCCTGTCTTAAAACAAAACAAAACAAAACAAATGAAAGAGCTAAGGACTGTTAAGAAAAATAAGAATGGAGAAAAAAAGATCAGAGAGAGAGAGAAAGAGAGAGACAGGACTTAGCAACTATTTAACTGAGGGGTATTAAAAGCTAGTATACTTTAAAAATTATAAAGTACAGCCCATACTACAGTAGAGTCTAAAAATATAGACTATACTATAAAACTGAGGAGTGTGGGGCCAATGACACTATAAGTCACCAAAAAGTAATAAAGAAGAAAAAGAGCAGACCACATTAGTACCAGAGTTCAATGTAGAGTCAGCAGGCACCAAAGAAATCATAGTTAACTGACTTAATGAATTCTTTCATCAGGTCAAAGATATTTGACGTACTCAAGAAAGAAATCCATCTATTTGTAGGACAAAAAAATAAAATAAACTTTTAATTTAGAATTACCAGATAAACTACAGGATGCCCAGTTACATCTGAATAATAAACAAGAATATTTTTAGTGCATGTTCTATGCTATATTTGAGGCATACTTATTTTGAAAGGATTTTTTAGTATTTATCCGAAATTCAAGTGTAACTTGACATCCTATATTTTTATTTGTTAAATTTGGTATTTCTGTATCAATCAGATATGAGATATTTTCAGCAGCACCTGAAAGATAAAAAATAGACATGGTGTTGAGACCTGATTTCACAGATCAGAAGAAGGAGTAGTCAATTTTACCTGGTAGAAAGAAAGCAAGACTGGTCCTCATAGAATCTTTTACATTCAAAAAGTAGTAAGAAGAAGAGTAGCAGGACAGGAAAACAAAAAAAAAAAAGCAAAAGAAGAACAAAAAAGCCAAAGGAGAAGAGACTAAAGTGACAAATTGTGGATGCATACAACTTTCTGAATTCACAGAAAAGTAGGAAAAGAATTAGAGAAACACCCTGAGCACACTGCTTCATTCCCTTAACGAAGAAGCCCTTTATTAATATTTGAGTGCTCCACCCACCATAGGGAGGAGCATTTTCCAGGAGCTCAAGGATGGGAACCCTGTAGACATCCAGGGCCTTTACAAGTAAGGCTCTAAGAGTCGCAGTTAAAAAAGCGCAGCTCGTGACGTCACCACA